GGGGGGGGGGGGTATAATTACCCCAAAGAAATATGGTGCGATGTTACATCGTTCATACGCAACATCGCCCTACTGAACTTCTGACCTACCAGCTTTCCGACCTACTGCAATATCAGACCTACGCAATCTGTTTGTTTTTGTATTATTTGAGGGTTAGGTTAGGTTAAGACAATTTCTAGGCCGAGCGCTGTGGCTTGAACAGGCTAGGGGGCCGAGCGCCGCGGCTAGAACAGGTCAGGGGGCCGGGCACTGCGGTCACAAGTTCATCTAGCAGCTGTAAAACCACGTGCTAGTAGATCGAATGTGTAGCATAGCGGATATGGCGTGGGTCAGAAGTGGAGTAGAGCGGATTTGCGTAGGTCGATTGATACACCATCAAAAATATAAATCATGAATGGTATGTACAGGAGAAGTGGAAAGTCTCCAACGGTAGAATAAGAGAGAAGCTTATCAGGCTGATTGGACAAATAGGGAAGGAGACGGTGAGAATTTCTCTTTGTAATTATTGTTTATGGAATTTTTTTTAACAAATATTTTGTATTATATCATATCTGTTCGGTTCCATAGTAGTAAACCTATCGTGTAAGAATTTTCATTATTACACGGCTCAGAGTTAGCTTCTTAGCGTTTAAGAAGGTCTATTCTTACACTGGGGTTGTAGAATTTTCATTCTTTAACGCCCAGAGCGTAAAAGAATGTGTATTCTTACACGCTTCGAGCATCAAAGAATGTAAATTATAATGGAAATTCTTAAACGAGATGAAATAATCTTGATGCATTCTTTAACTCAGGCCTGCGTCTTCGTTACAGAATAAATCAAGATTATAAGAATTTCCATTATTACATTTTTTCTCATAAGACTATCGTATTCTTTTTCATAGTACATCATCTATAATAATTGCATTTTCAATATTTTTAAAAACTTTTTTGTGTCCTAAGAGTAAGTATGTTTCAGGTTAGTGCCAAGCAAACTAAACCGGCTTTATCTGTCCTCACGCTACTCTGGGAGGTGATAATTAATGATTACTCTCTGGGAGGTATTAATTAATGATTGCTATTAGAGAGAAGGTTTATAAACCTATACATTTTAGCCGAAAGGGTGATGTAATTCCGTTGCTCACAGTGGCAGCGGAGTTTAACCCAAATTCCCCAAACCGATTTCAAATCTTCAAATTGTTGACATTTATGATTTTCAGGAAGATATTTTGTGTTTAAGTTTTTTTAGCTATTGAAAGTTAATTTTTCTGCAACCTGTAAAATTAGGATAAACAATGAATGCTGCAAATTTTCCAGGGGGATTTCAGGCCTAAATGGGTGCTGAGTCCCCCCCCTGGACAAAATCCTGTTTACACCCCTGATTTTGCTTCTCATGTCAGGTTGCGCATTTTCCTGGTTTACCCCGTCACCTGGTGGAGCGTGCCTTCAAGGAACACCTGGACACACTCTCCGAGATAAATCTTAATATTGACGCCACCAGGCGGCTCTATATCCTCGCCTGTGTCGACGATATCAAGAAGACCAGCGGGTGTTTCATCCCTTCAGTGAAACATCTTCATGATATCTGTAGGAATTATGGGTCCAAGGCATCATCAGCTTATCAAAAGGTCAGAACATTGCTCGGTTTAATATGTATATTTTGAAATAATGATGGAGGAAGTAATAAATAATGAATTATAAAAGATTATATAAATACTATAAAAAGAAAGAATGAATGGAAGAATGAAAGAATGAAAGAATGAAAGGATGAAAGGATGAAAGGATGAATGAATGAATGAATGAATGAATGAATGAATGAATGAATGAATGAATGAATGAATGAATGAAGGGATGAATGAAGGGATGAATGAAGGGATGAATGAAAGTATGAATGAAAGGATGAATGAATGAATGAATGAATAAATGAATGAATGAATGAATGAATGAATGAATGAAGGGATGAAAGGATGAATGAATGAATGAATGAATGCATGAATGAATGAAAGAATGAAAGGATGAATGAATGAATGAATGAATGCATGAATGAATGAAAGAATGAATGAAGGGATGAATGAATGAATAAATGAGGAAATTAATGAAACTATCTATCAATCAATCAAAGGATAAATAAAAAAATCTCTTAATTAATTAATTAATCAATATCTAGGCCAGTAAGCAGACCTTGTCAGAATTGAACAAGCAGCATGAAATAGTGAAACTGATCAGTACAAGTCTAAGCAAGGCACACAATCAAGCAGTTCAGGCAGCTAAATCTCAAGGCCTTGCTCTCAAGGTATTTAAACTTTGTATTAAGGGTTTCGATGTGCTGGCCTGGTTTTTTTGCTCATACTTTTTCTCTTTTTTTGTTTATTATGAAAAATATTAAAATACCTTTTCAAATCCTTATTGAACGAAAGAATGCTTTGGTCCCATGCTGTTTTATTTTATACAAGAAATATTTGGATATTTTCTAATTACATTTTTTCCGATTTTTTTGTATTGTTTATGTTTGAAATTTTGAAAAGGCCTTATCGAATCTCTCAAAAATTAAAGCATGTGCTAAACATACATTTTGGTCTCTTGCAAAACAAAAATTCAGATGTTTTGATATTTGAATTATATTTTTGTTTTATTTGTAGCCTGATACTCTGGTTGACAGCATGTACACTCACCAGGAGTCCGTGGACACCCACCTCGACCTCATGATGTTTCTTCTCAAAGAGGGGGATCTTTATCTCTCATGGTAACAGCTGTTAGAAAATTAATGGGCTAATAGATCCGCGGATCCGCATCCGTGATGATGGATCCGGATCCTGACTCTGATACGGATACGGATACGGATACGGATCCGGATCCGAGGTAACTTTTGATTCTGTGAATCGGATTTTCCCTATTAAATGTTATGCAAGGTTATAATTTATAAACTATAGTAATCCTAAAGTTAAAAATGTCGTCATTACTATTATATAAATTTAAACATTAAATTATTAAAGATAATTTTGAAAAATTTTCGACATGTAAATAATACATTTACGAACCATTTTGATTTATTTATTCCATGGTTTTGCTTAATTTTTGGCGCTACCCGGATCCATATCAACGTTTCCTGATACGGATCCGGATCCGACCAAATGATACGGATCCGACCGGATCCGGATCCGAAACGCTGATTTTAAATGTCATCCGCGAAGAAAACTTTGATGAAAAAATTTATGTTTTAAAATTATTCATCAACTGGGTCCAGAACTATTTTTTCTTGGAGTCAGGAACCTGATTCCTATTAAAGTTAAATGGATTCAAAGCACTACTTTTGATAATAATAATTTGTCAGGCCCAGATGTAAGGAACTGTGGTCTACCCTGGTGGACAACGAGAACTCTATACAGATGGACCAGGTCACAAAACATATGAAGATAATAGAAAAAATTTAAATTGACTTTTTATTAATGTTTTTTTTCATGTTTAAAATTAATATTTTTACTGTTTGTTTCTCTTTAAAAAATGTTTGCAGAAACAATGAATGAAATTGTGAGAATTAAATACTTTTCAACTTAGATTTATAACGATGATATCCATAATTGATTTTAAAAGCTGTTGAATAAAATCGGTATTTGGAGGGAAAATCTGTCAATTTTGGGAGAAAATCCACCAAAATAACGGGGTGAAATCCTTCTAATTTTTTATTAATGATTTTCTGATATTTTATGTAGTTCAGTATTTTTTTAGGATTGTATTTTCACCTGGTTTACGAGCTGTATGTCTGACCTAGAAGCAGAAACACAAAGACAATTCTTCAGGAAAATATGTCTCATTGATTCAATTTTTAAGAAATGCTTTGTTCAAAAAATTACTGGTAAAGGGACTGACATAGTATTTAGGTCTGTTTTTAAACATTTAGAGTATTTAGGCTTTTCAAAGCTTCACAAGAATTTTTTTTCACTCTGATGAAAGATATTGACCAAACCATATTTACCCTGAAAAATATCATAAGAGCCCTTTGTCTAGGTCCACGTTAAAAACTGTAAAAACACATACATTCCAGTGAAATTTGCTCTAAAACTTGATAAAAAGAAATTTGTGTTTACTAAACGTTTTGAAAATAGTTGGTTTAGAATAAAAATATTTCTGTATGTGTGTTATAAAAACAAACTTGTCCAGCATGCAATTTTGAAATAGTATTTGCATCTTAGATTCTTGTCAATTTTGTAAAAAAAAAACGGGTATCAAAACGATGCCCATGTGTAACATCATGTTACGCATTATTTATTACTGCAAAGAAATATTCAAATCAGTACCTTCCAAACCAGGGACCGAAGTTAAAAATTGGAGAGGTTCTTGAACTAACTACCACCCGGTTCAAATCCTGAATCACCGATTCAAATATTCATGACTTTTTTACTTTGAACCGGCGGTAGGTTGTTCAGCTATCCCTCCAACTTATTGAATTCAGTCCCTTGTTCAGAAATTTAGAAATTTTTAAGTCGATAAAGCCATATTGGATTTATTGGATTCTATTCCCCTTTCTTTGTTCACTGTTTAGTGCGTTAAAATAATATAATAATTGAAGCCAATCTGTAAATTTTCATACTTTTTATTTTGCAATTGAATTCACTTTTTTGAACAAACATATTTTAGAGAGAAGTTGTTAAGCCTTTCCCCGACTGCAGTCAGGAAATTAAAGCAAATAATCACATTTTTTTTTACTATAAAAAGCTAAATGGATTTAACGAGCTCCAGTTGATTCGCAAATTCTCAAATTTTATTTTGCTTAATTTAGTCAGAATAGTTTTACATGTTTGCGCAAATATTTTGAGACCGTTAACGCAAGCGAAGGAAAAAAAAGAGTTTTGACTTTGAAGACGATTAATAAAACTTAATTTTTGTTGAACTAATCTTTTTTTTTTATCAGTTGATAGTTACTTTTCAAAGTTTTCTAAGATCTCAGCAGATGTAATTTATTAAAAATACAAAAGTTGTCTTATAGAAAAAATGACAATTAACAAGAAAATTTTTAGAGATAAAGTAAAACAAAACTTTTTTTGTATAGCCCGGTTAAAGAAGAATTATACCTCAATAGTTGTAGAAAAAATTGACTTAATTGGTAAGCGATTAAACTTTTGATCCCTATCTTTTACAGCATTCTCTTTGTAATGTTCCAAATAATAATGATGATGATATTTGGATACGTCTTTTTATATTTTTAGCTTACAATGAGTTTTATTTTTCTTAGATTGAAATAAGTTGATTTTAGAAATACAGATTTCATCAAGTTGTAATTTTTGTATTGTCAGATTGTGATTTTTTGTTGTGGTTTTGTCAATTGGGAGTTTTTGTGTGGTATTGTCAGATTGGGCGGTTAGATTCTTAGTTTTGTCTGTGGTATTGTCTTATTGGGAGTTTTGGTTGTGGTATTGTTAAATCATGAGTTTTGGTTGTGGATTGTCAGATCGTGAGTTTTGGTTTTGGTATTGTCAGATTCCAACGAGTTGTGCTTGTCGTATTTTCAGGTTTCATTGAGTTGTGACTGTGGTAATGTCAGAATATGAGTTTTGAATGTGATATTTTCAGAGTACAGCGAGTTGTGGTTGTGGTATTTTTATGTCACAGCGTGCTGTGACTGGTAATATCAAATTATAAGTTTTGATTGTGGTATTTTTTTTAGTATAACGAATCGTGGTTGTATTTTTTTCAGGTTTAACTAGTTGTCAAAAGAAAAATTTTGAATTTAGCTCAAGAAACCATAGGTCCAATGCAATTATTACTCTGATTATTGTTTGTTATTGTTGAATTACAAGTTTGGTTTAAATAATATAAAATTACAAATTATTGTAAAATTGTGGCAATACAGCTTTGATCAAATAATTTATTTTTTGACGGGCATAATCTTAATAGCTTTAAAAAAAAGTCATTTGAGGCCGTCATCAGGTCTAAGGATCCGGATCCGCATTACGTGAAATTGATTCTTATCACTATGTTGCTGGACCATAAAGAATTCTTTTGGACTCCGTTAATTATTATTTTTTTGTTTTCAGGAATTGAATACTTTTGGGATATTATCACTGATTCTGACAAGGATGATATAGCTGGTCGAGGAATAGATTTAGTCCTGGAGATGGCATATTTAAATGTGTCGCCTAAACTCAAGAAGGCAGGAGAACAACCAATATTTGAAAATGTTACCTCCATACTATCAAATTATCCAGATGGCTTCGCCAACCAATTGTTTAACTTTAATAATTAAAACTGCAGATATAGGTTCTGCAAATTTACATAAAGTTTGTGAACACATAATGATAATTATAATTGGATGGAACTATAGGAGCCAACTGAGTTGCACAACCACTTCATCAAGACCTGCATAGGTCGTCTAGAAAAAACATGGAGGGAGGGAGATGATTGCCACCTAGCGGTACAACAAGGTAACTAAACTGTGTACAGGAATCGGTAGATGATTGCCACCTAATGGTACAACAAGGTGTCTAAAGTATTCAGTAGTCTGTAGGATTGCCATCTAAAAGCGGTACAAAAAGGTAACTAAACTGTACAGGAGTCGGGTGATAATTGCCACCTAGCGGTACAACAAGGTAACTAAACTATACAGTAGTCTGTAGATGATTGCCACCTAGCGGTACAAAAAGGTAACTAAGCTGTACAGGAGTCTGGTGATAATTACCACCTAGCAGTACAATAATGTAACTAAACTATACAGTAGTCTGTAGATGATTGCCACCTAGCGGTACAAAAAGGTAACTAAGCTGTACAGGAGTCTGGTGATAATTACCACCTAGCAGTACAATAATGTAACTAAACTATACAGTAGTCTGTAGATGATTGCCACCTAGCGGTACAAAAAGGTAACTAAACTGTACAG